TATAAGCAAAAAAAATTTAGGTCGAGGATTCGCAGCCACTGTCTTCAATGACAAAGCGACAAATGAGTTCTCATTGGCTCTGTTTTGTAGAAGAAAATTATTATTCGCCTTTTTGAGGCCATCGAAATGGAAGTGAAGAACGCTATAACTACTAGTTCGAACTATTTATGAAACAAAAATTTGGGCAATTATCATCTTCAACTTGTCTTTGGATGTCGGACTAGGTAACGTCATATCTTTCCAACTATATATCTGCATTCACAGTCTCAGTTGTTATCTCGTTCCTCTATATAGTAAGCATAAGGAGCAATCTTCGAAGATCAACAGAAGTTCTAGTGAGACTCAAACTCGCAAAACCACCGAGCAGTTTTCAATGTGTGATTTGACACTATGTGATACTGTGTTTTAACTTCCCGACTTCAATTGCAAAACACTTACATATCAGTAATTTGTATCTATTAGTTACTACAGTTCTATGTTTTCACTAAACAATGAGAAATGCCATAAAAATACCAGATTGTTTTATGCAATGACATAGAAATTTTATGAACTGCGAATCGTGAAACCGATCGCATTACAAGAGACGTGTGCGTTTCATAAAGCAGGGTAAGTGAATTAGCAAAATTAAAAATCCACTCTGAAGGCACTATACTGCTTCTATCACTATTCCTAATGTTCCGATGCGACCTGTTTGATAGTGTTGATTATGATGTCGGATGACTCCTCTACCTGCAAATGCCAATTTTCCATAATGACTCGATAAGATCCTATGCGTAAGTTTGGACCTGTTCCTTATTGATACATAGAGGTGGAGTGAATCGAATGATGTCGCCATGGGTGTTCTTGGAGAGAAGTCCATTCTTGAGCAATCGGTTGCATACGTTCCAAGCATCGTATTCTAGATTTATACGGCTATGTGTGAATAATTATTATTTTGAGTTCATCATACTTTTGTTAATCACAACAGCACAGAAGAGTCCGCGACCACGAACTACTGGCACAACCTCTCT